AATGGATCTCTGAACAAGGACAAGGTGAATGGATGGAGGGCAGCGCTCGCAGAAGTTGCAGATCTTGCAGGCATGGTCTTACAAAATGAATGTGATGGGTAAATTTCATTAATTTATAACTGGTCCTTTTAAAGCTTTCTTTCATGATATATATAATATTAACATACCAAGCTTTATAATTTGATTTCCCCATTTATTTTCATTTGGATTGCAATTTTCTAGGCATGAGGCAAAGTTTATCAAGAAAATTGTTAAAGTGATTGAAGGCAAGCTAAGCCGCACACCATTGAGTGTTGCCCCTTACCTAATTGGAATCGATTCTCGAGTCAAAGAGATTAATTTATGGTTACAAGATGGATCATCTGATGTTGGGATATTTGTGATTTATGGGATTGGTGGAATAGGGAAGACAACCATTGCACAAGTTGTTTATAATTCAAATTTTTCAAGATTTGAAGGAAGAAGTTTCCTCGAAAATATCAGGGAGATTTCAGAAGGTCCCAATGGTCTGGTTCAACTGCAAGTACAACTTCTCTCTGATATTTTGGGTGGAAGAACAGTGAAGATTCGTAGCGTTAGTGAGGGAGTAATTAAGATTAAGGATGTTATAAGCTGTAAAAAAGTTCTTCTTGTCCTTGATGATGTGGATCATACGAACCAATTAGATGCAGTACTTCGAATGCGAAAATGGTTTTATCCAGGAAGTAAAATTATTATAACAACTAGGTGTGTGGGGCTGTTGAAGGCTCATCAAGATGTTAAGGTGCATAATGTTGAAACCTTAAATCATGTTGAATCATTGGAGCTCTTTAGTTGCCACGCATTCGGACAGAACCATCCAGTTGAAGGTTATGTGAAACTTTCGGAAAAAGTAGTAAACCACAGCGGAGGACTTCCATTAGCTCTTAAAATTTTGGGTTCTTCACTATCAGGGCAGAGTGTAGATGTATGGGAAAGTGCATTAAAGAAATTGGAAGTTATTCCAAATGGTGACATTGTGAATAAGCTCAGAATAAGCTACGACTCTTTACAAGACGACCATGACCAACAATTATTCCTCCATATTGCATGTTTCTTCATTGGAAATGAGAAAGATGTCACAGTGAAAATACTAGATGGATGTGATTTCTTTACAATTGTTGGCATTCAAAATCTCATCGATCGGTGTTTGTTAACAATTGATGAATATAATAAGGTGAAGATGCATCAAATGATTCGTGACATGGGAAGAGAAATTGTTCGCCTAGAATCAAAAGAGCTGGAGAAACGTAGTAGATTATGGCATCATAAGGATTCTCTCAATGTATTGAGAGAAAAGAATGTAAGAAACATGCTCATTATGTATGCCGCACACATAATCTTTTTTCCGTTTTTGTGCATTCATGTTGGTTACTAATCCAAATGCCTTGTGTTCTATTTTCTTTGTACTAGGGTTCAAAGAAAGTTGAAGGTCTTGCCCTTAATCTGCACCCTGTAGACACTTCTTTGAGAAAATCAAATATGGTAGTCTTTGAAACTAATGCATTTAGAAGGATGGTTAAACTGAAACTACTCCAGCTTAGTTTTGTACAGCTCAATGGATGTTATGAAGAAATTCCTAAAGGACTGAGATGGTTGTATTGGCTTAAATTCCCTTTAGACTATATACCCAGTGACTTTCTTTTGGAGAGCTTGGTTGTTCTTGAAATGCCCTATAGTAGCTTAAGAAAAATCTGGAAGGGAACAAAGGTATGCATGCTACTCCACACTTTTCATTTTAGTTTTTCTTAGAGATTAACTGGTAGACAAATCTACAAGAATTAACTCCTGCCTTCTTGCATTTTTCTTTTCACAGCATCTTCCATCATTAAAGATCCTTGATCTCAGCAATTCCCATGAACTCACTGAAACCGGCGACTTCTCATTGGTCCCCAATCTAGAGAGATTGATTCTTGAAGATTGTGCAAGCTTGGTTGATGTCCATGAATCCATTGGAAACCTAGAGAAACTTGTTTACTTGAATATGAAAGATTGCAAAAATATTTGGAAGCTTCCAAATAGCAGTTCTATGCTAAAATCACTTGAAACACTTATTATATCTGGTTGCTCAAGCCTTAATGAGTTTCCTGTGGAGATGGGGAAGATGGAATCTCTTAAAGTGTTTCTAGCCGATGAAGTTCCAATAAGTCGATTACACACTACCACTTTACCCTGCACTTTAGTTGTTCTAAGTCTTACAGACTGCAATCTTTCTGATGATTCTTTTCCAAGAGATTTTGGTAGCTTACCCTCATTGCGGAGATTGGATCTAAGTAGCAATCCACTTTGTAGGCTACCAGATTTCACCAGAGGCCTTTTGGGGCTCGATCACCTTGCATTTTCCCAGTGCACAAAGCTCAAATCGCTTGAGGGACTACCAAGAGTAACAGAATTGGTTACACTCCATTCTGAGTCATTGGAAAAAATAACGTTTCAATCAATTTCATGCCTACCAATGAGTATCAAGTATGGTTACAACTCCAAACTTGCTGAGGTTGAGTACTGGTACAAGTTAGTACCTATTGAAAGAGTGGATGTAGAAATTATCAAACTTTTGGGGTTGTGCAACTTGGAATCGATGGAAAGCATTAGGATGTACACCCCAGATATGCTCTATTCGAATGGCAGGATGCATCCCATTGAGGTAATTGGTCTCTCTCTCTCTCTCTCTCTCCCTCTCTCCAAAACTTATACGGCATGCTCAAAATATTGGATTTTCAACTATTGCTCGTCAGTAAATGCAGCGATGTTGTGTGCAATATCATGTGCTATGTAAGTTGAGAAAGAGAAGTTTGGTTATTAATGAACAATTTTACTAATTGCTATTCGGTATAGGGACTCTATGAAGATGGTATATTTAGCACATTTCTTCCTGGAAACGAGGTTCCAGGCCAGTTCAGCCATAGAAGTAAGGGGTCCTCAGTGTCTTTTACTGTGCCTCTACTTCCAACTCTCAAGATCAGAGGCTTGACCATCTTCTCTATTTATGCAAATTCCAACATGTATTCTTTTTCTAGTATGCCTAATCCAGTAATTATCAAAGTCAGTAACATCAGCAAGGGTATGAACTGGGTCTACGCCCCAACATGCTATGGTCTGCCGGACGAAGAAAATGACGTGATATGGTTAAGTCACTGGAAGTTTGGGAGTCTATTGGAAGGCGGGGATGAAGTGAATGTTACAATAGTTACAAAACCTTCGTTTGAAGTGAAAGAATGTGGCATCCAGCTTGTGCATGAGCAAGTATGCGAGATTAGTAGCCAACACGGCGACACAGATCCTTGTTATCCATCTGACATTGGTGGGAATTTGCCAGAAAGAAACATGCTCATTATGTATGCCGCACACATAATCTTTTTTCCGTTTTTGTGCATTCATGTTGGTTACTAATCCAAATGCCTTGTGTTCTATTTTCTTTGTACTTCATGTGGGGTGGACCTCTAAATAAAGAATGTAGAAATGTTGTTTTTAGCTGGAAAAGAGAAGATTGGTTCAAAGAAATCTTTGGAGACTCTAATGAAGAAACAGGTATGTTGTTTAGATATCACTGATAAATTAGCACCGCAAGTTAATTGTGGTGGCAATGCTATTCGTACTCTCAGTTTATCCTACTGCACTTTTCCTGCTCGTGTTTTGAAATACAGAGTGGGAATAGCTGCTGCTTTATTATCATTATTTTGATGTTGAAACACATGCCAAGCCATCCACATTCATTTCAAAGAATTTAGTTCCTTCTGATATTTTATGTTGACTTTCTAGTATTTGTGTGTTTTGTAGACAAGGAAGAAAGGCAGCCACAGGGTGACGATGAGCCTCTTGCACTTGCAGCAGCAGCTGCAGCAGAAACATTAATAGAAGTAGAGAGGACAAACAACAACTGTGGTTGCAGAGGCTGCACGATTATCGTTATTATTGGTGCTTTCTTCTTTCTCTTCCTTTCTCTAGTACGCTCACGCTCTTTTTTCCCTCACTAAAAAAAGAAAAAGGACAGCCCACAATGTAATGTATTTCAAATGCTGCCCCACCCCCATATGTAATCAAAATGGAAAAGCTTCAATTAAAATTTTACCCGTGTGAAAGCCATGGACCGGAAGCAGTCTTCTTCTTCTTTTTTTGGTCGAACCGGAAGCGGTCTTTAGGAGCATATTGGCCACAGTCTTCTTTCTCTTCCTTTCTCTAGTAGTCTCTCGCTCTTCTCTTTCTCAGTGAAAGAAATGACAGGCCACAAGTCCTCCATGAAAATTGTTGTATTTGATGCAATCATCTTTGCTTCAGATGGTCTATCTGCTGTCAAAGTACTTTATCTGAATGATTGTGATTGATTAGTCTTGATGGTTTTTTTAATTTGGTGATTAATTGGCTGATAAGAGTTGTTCTGCCTTCATCATGCAGGTTAATTGGCTGATAAGAGCGGTTACTTTTAATCTTTAAGGACACGTTATCGATTGATTCTCTTAAACATTTATGCTCACTTCTTACCAATATTGACAAATTTTTAATCTTAAACTTATGCAGATGTAAAAAGAACTCTTTATACAGTCTAACTTGCAAATTGGTAACAAAAAAGCTAAGCAAAATCTCTGGACACGAGCTTGCAACTTGAGATAGGCCAGCCACTCAGAAAAATGTGAAACCACATACAAATACAATGTGTCCTTCCTCTGTTTTTCTGCTGATCCATCGACTCGTATAAAAAATTCCTGACGATGAATTTCATGTACTCTTTTCCTAGCTAGAAGTGCTCATGCTTTGTGGTCAACAGCTGGTTAGCCACTTTGCACGTAGTCCCCACTCCCCTAATTTACTAATCCAATGGGACTTGAAAGAGTACTAGGTTAATATTATCATTGAGTAAAATATGATCAATTGGGTTAGACCATAGAAAACTATTAAGTGGAGTAGTTGGACTTAATCCAAAGAAAATATTTCGTATCAAATTTGCTTTAAGCATTTCCTTACTCATGCCAAATGAGAATCTCCCCAACTTTATTTTGCTTGACCAAGAAATTAAGAACATATATTAGCTGCTTGCTTATATCAAATTATCATGATATCTCAGCTGAGAAACCAGCAACAAGTCATCTGATATTTCCCTAGATCATAGGCAAGTTTATTGCATCTTTGTTCATCCATGGCCCTTGTAAGATCTCAAGAAGCCTCCACTTCTGATACTAACTGTGGTTGTAGTTATCACGTGTTCTTGAGCTTCAGAGGTGAAGACACTCGCAGGACTTTTACTGACCACCTTTATACAGCCTTTGTCAATTCAGGGCTACAAACTTTCCGAGACGATGATGAACTTGAGAGAGGGGAAGGGATCAAGACAGAGCTGGAGAAAGCAATCCAACATTCACGAAGTTCTGTCATTGTGTTCTCGAAAAACTACGCGTCTTCCAAATGGTGCCTTGACGAGCTTGTGAAGATCCTTGAACGCAAGAGGGCCTCTGATGAGCATGTAGTTTTACCAGTCTTCTATGACATTGACCCATCTGAGGTGAGGAAGCAGACAGGAAGCTTGGCAAAAGCATTTGCTAGACACCAACAGAACCGATCTTTGAACAAGGACAGGATAAGCGGATGGAGAGCAGCACTTACAGAAGTTGCAGATCTGGCAGGGATGGTCTTACAGAATGAAGCTGATGGGTAATCATTCTTCCCATTACAACTGGTAGATTTTTATGTAGCCTCGTTAATTAGATTTCTATCTGGCTATAGACTCTAGTACTTCAAGACATAACTTTGTCATGTTGTAATTATTGGAAAATACTTGGATGTTATTCTTCATTCACGACAATCACAATTTGACATGTATGCATAATTTTTCTTTTCACTTACATGGAAGAGCCAAACATTATTCACAATTAGTTCCATATAACACAGATTTAATAGCTTAATTATTTGAAGTCATAGCATGCCATGTTTGATTCAATAATATTCATTTTGATTGCAATTTTCTAGGCACGAGGCAAAGTTTATTAAGAAAATTGTTAAAGTGATTGAAGGCAAGCTAAGTCGCACTCCCTTAAGTGTTTCCCCTTACCTGATTGGAATCGATCATCGAGTGAAAGACATTAATTCATGGTTGCAAGATGGATCCTCCAATGTTGGCATATGTGTAATTTATGGGATTGGTGGAATAGGGAAGACAACCATTGCGCAAGTTGTTTACAATTCAAATTTTTCAAGATTTGAAGGAAGAAGTTTCCTTGAAAATATAAGGGAAATTTCTGAACAACCCAATGGATTGGTTCAAGTACAAATGCAACTTCTTTCTGATATTCTGAATGGGAGAAAAGTGAAAATACACAATATTAGTGAGGGGATCACTAAGATTAAAGATGTCATAAGCTGTAAAAAAGTACTTCTTATTCTCGATGATGTGGATCATACGCGCCAATTAGATGCGATACTTAGAATGAAAGATTGGTTTTGCCCAGGAAGTAAAATCATTATAACAACTAGGTCTGTGGGGTTGTTAAAGGCTCATCAAGATGTTAAGGTGCATAACCTTGAAACTTTAAATCATGTTGAATCATTGGAGCTCTTTAGTTGCCATGCTTTCGGACAGGACCATCCGACTGGAGGTTACATGGAACTTTCAGAAAGCATAGTAAAGCACAGTGGAGGGCTTCCTTTAGCTCTTCAAACTTTGGGTTCTTCTCTATCAGGGCAAAGTATAGATGTATGGGGAAGTGCATTAAAGAAATTGGAAGTTATTCCAAATAGTGACATCATGAGTAAGCTCAGAATAAGCTACGATTCTTTACAAGATGACCATGACCAAAATCTGTTTCTCCATATCGCATGTTTCTTTATTGGAAATGACATGGATGTTGTTGTCACAATACTAGATGGATGTGATTTCTTTACAACTGTTGGCATGCAAAATCTCATCGATAGATGTTTGGTAACAATTGACGAGTATAAAAAGGTGAAGATGCATCAAATGATTCGTGACATGGGAAGAGAAATTGTTCGCCTCGAATCGAAGCAGCCTGAGAAGCGTAGTAGATTATGGCATCATAAGGATTCTCTAAGTGTATTGAGAGAAAAGAATGTAAGAAACATCCTTCTTTTATGTACGTGTGTGCATTTTGGTTGGTTCATATCTAAGTGTTTTTTTTTTCTCTGTTAGGGTTCGAAAAAAGTTGAAGGACTTGCCCTGAACATGCATATGTACCCTGTAGAAAATCGTTCAAGAAATTCGAATAAGGTGGTCTTGGAAACCATTGCATTTACAAGGATGGTGAAACTAAGATTACTACAGCTTAGTTCCGTACAACTCAATGGAGGTTATGAAGAATTTCCTAAAGGTTTGAGATGGTTGTATTGGCTTGAATTTCCTTTAGATTCTATACCCTGTGATTTTCTTTTGGAGAGCTTGGTTGTTCTTGAAATGCACTACAGTAGCTTAAGAAAAATCTGGCAGGGAACAAAGGTATATATTCTACTCCTCCACGCGTTTTTTTTTTCTTTTCTAATTATTTTATTTATGGATTTTGATGGTTATACATGTGTATGAATAAACTCCCTGCCTTCTTGCAGAGTCTTCCATCTTTAAAGATCCTTGATCTCAGCTATTCCCGTCACCTCATCGAAACCGGGGATTTCTCTTTGGTCACCAATCTAGAGAGGTTGATTCTTAATAAATGCAGGAGCTTGGTTGATGTCCATGAATCCATTGGAAACCTGGAGAAACTTGTTTACTTGAATATGAAAGATTGCGAAAATATCAGAAAGCTTCCAAAGAGCATTTCTATGCTAACATCACTTGAAACACTTATTATATCTGGTTGCTCAAGTCTTAATGAGTTCCCAATGGAGATGGGGAAAATGGAATCTTTAAAAGTGTTTCAAGCAGATGGGATTCCGATAGATCAATTACACACTTCCACTTTACCCTGCAATTTAGTTGTTTTAAGTCTAACAAACTGTAATCTCTCTGATGATGCTTTCCCAAAGGATTTTGGTAACTTATCCTCGTTGCAGAGCTTGGATTTAAGTCATAATCCAATTCGCAGCTTACCAGGTTGCATCAGAGGCCTTACCGGGCTTGATCACCTTGCATTTTCCCAGTGTACGAGGCTCAAATCGCTTGTAGGGCTACCACAAATAACAGAACTTGTCGCGATCCATTGTGAGTCGTTGGAAAGAGTTACATTTCAATCAATTTCGTGTCTACCAGAAAAGTTTATTTATGGTTACAACTTCAAGCTAGCTGAGATTGAGTACTGGTACAAGTTAGAACCCATTGGAATGGTGGATGTTGAAATGAGAAAGCTCTTGGGCTTGTGCAACTTGAATTCCACGGAAGCCATTAGGATGTACACCCCAGATAGGCTCTCTTCAGGAGCTGGGACTATGCATCCCATCCAGGTGCCTCTCTCTCTCTCTCTCTCTCTCTCTCTCTCTCTCTCTCTCTCACACACACACATACACACATACACATATAATATGTAAGAATTGAATTACTGATATCAACATTTGGTATAGGGACTGCATGAATATGGTATATTCAGCACATTTCTTCCTGGAGATGAGGTTCCAGGACAGTTCAGTGACAGAAGTGAAGGATCCTCAGTGTCTTTTACTGTGCCTCCTTTACTTCCCAATCTTCGGATTCGAGGCTTGAACATCTTCACTGTCTACACAGAGTGTTACAACGGTTATTCCTCCTCTAGCATACCTAATCCACTGCTTATCAGAGTCTGTAATAAGACAAAGGGTCTGAAGTGGATCTATACACCATCATGCCATGGCGTTCCAGACAACGAAAAACAAGTGGTGTGGTTAAGTCATTGGAAGTTGGGGAGTGGATTGGAAGGCAGCGATGAAGTTACTGTTTCAGTGTTTACGAAACCTTTGTTTTGGGTGAAAGAATGCGGCATCCAGCTTGTGCATGAGCAAGAAACCGAGATGAGTACTCAACACAACACTACAGTTCCTAGTTATGCATCTGCCATTGGTCGGGATTTGTCAGAATTTATTCCAGGAACATACTACCTAGGGGGTGGACCTTTTCTCAGACTAACTAGAGAAGATGTTTTGGGTTGGAAAAAGGAAGTTTGGTTCAATGACATCTCTGGAGACTCTGATGAAGGAACAGGTATGGTGTTTAGCCAATCACTGAGTTCATATGGGCGCGATGCTATTCGTACTACCAGTTTGTCATCCTGCACTCTTTCTGTACGTAATGCCTTTAAGCAAAACGATAAAATACTAATTTTAGAGTGTAAGATGATAATGTGGGAGTGGGAATATATAGCGGCTGCCTTTACTTTGTTGATAGTTAGACACTCCATGAAATGAAACACATGGAAATTCATCCTCATTCACTTTAAAGAATTTAATTCCTCTGATGTTCTATTTATGGGGTTTGTATGTTTTGTTTTCTAGACAAAGAAGAAATACAGCAGGGTGACGAGCCGCTTGCGCTGGTAGCAGCAGCCGAAACATTAGTAGAAGCAGAGAGGGCGAGCAGAGGCAACAAGATTCTCATTATGACTGCAGTCTTCTTTCTCTTCCTTTCTCTAATCTCTCTTCCTTCTCTGTCTTTCCTGTCAAAGTACTTTATCTGAAATCTGAATAGGCGATCAATCTTGGTGGGGGGTTTATTTGTTTGTATGTTTTTGTTAATTATCTGCTGATAAATTGGCTTATAAGAGTTTATCTGCTTCATCATGCCCTTCTTGTAATACATTTCAATGAACAACCCGACTCAGTTTTGAAAACCACTCAATTTCGAGACAGAAAGCAGCTTGCAACAACCCCATATCTCATGCAGGACAAAAATCAGACACAGAAGAACGTATAAGCCCTTACAAGTTACAACCAGAAAAGAAACAAAGAAAAAGTTTAGAAATTGCTAGTCTCCCCTGTAAAGAGATGAAGATATCTCTGATGTTGTTAGCAAAATAAACTCTGCAAACTTTGCTGCTTAGTGCTGTAACTTGTATGACCACAAGTTTCCCAGATTTCTACCTGTTCTGTTCTGCTTGCTAATTCTGCAATGTATGGAGCCTCGTGCTCCAAGAAATCTATGCCTTGGCATAAATTGGTAGGCCATCCGTGCTGGGTGGGGCTTTTGCTATCTGACCCCAAAGACTGATTTTAGACAAAGGGCCAGTGAATTTGGAACTCTTGAGGGGCACATGCACTTGTATTTTTAAAATTCTGAGATGCGTTTATGGCAGTCATAGTTTATAGGCATAGAAATTGTACTAACATTTTATATTTGATTTCATCCATCCCCTTCAGTTTTTCTAACTAAGCTAAGCTTGACTTCTTGTAAGCTCGATTTTCATTCAATAATGCATCAACAACTCACAATCACTTCATTGGCTCGTCAATAATGCATCAACAACTAACAATCACTTCACTGACTCGTTGGGACAATTGTCGCAATACATCACTAGCTCATTGAAACAACTGTCGCTAGCACAACTCTTTTATGTATGTTATGCCCTCAAATTATTCAACAACCCTATGATCCAAGCCTTCCTATCAATTGAAATGTGAAAAGAAGTGTTGTTCTGTGAAGATTGAAGAATATTCGGTCAGCCTCATCTGCCACTTCATCACGTGCCATTCATTCCCCCAACCCCATCACGCCCGCCATGTTTTAAGAAAAAGGAGAAAAAGGAGAGAGAGAGAGAGAGAGAGAGAGACCATTGCATTTGCATTGGTAGTTGAAACTTGAAACCCCCCTAATTAAACCCCCCACCACCGGCCCACCCCAAATCCATTAATTAAATTTTTAATAATTTTGCCCGCTCACAGAAAAAAAATAAATACATTTATAAATTATACGCAAAAACAAAAAACTTTTCCATTTTTGATAAAATTAACCAAAAGTAAGTGGAAAATATTGATGATGTCCATGCCCATCCAAATTTCACATTTATGACCCATCAACTGAGACACCGACACGTACATGACACCTCAGCACACTTGATACTCATCCCGGTGAAGATAGAATTGCTGCTTCTGCTGGTGTTGCTCTTCGGGTTGCTGCTGCTGAGAAGCCTCTTTCTGGCGACGGAGCTCCAGAACCTTCCGGTGAGAGTTGGAGTGCTGAGTCAGCACGAACGTCGGACTTGCCGCGGGTCGGTACTCGGGTACGAGCCGACCCGACTTGAATCGGACCCCACACGCGTTGCACAGCGTCTTGGGGCCCATTGGACCCGCCCGCCACTGCGGCGTCTTCTCTGAGGCGCAGTGCGCGCACCGGCGCGGCTTGGAGGGCGACGGAGAAGCTTCCGATGGCTCTCTCTTGGGCTTCGCCCGTGAGTCGCTGGGCTCGGGTGGGCCGCCCCATTTTGAGCGATTGGTGCGAACCCGGCTCGGAAACAAGGACGACGTGTCGTTTGGGAAGGACGCGGAGCCGAAGACGTTGGTGGTGGGGAAGTCGGTGAAGGAGTCGTCCACGAAGCGCGACAACCACTCCAAGTCCGCCACGTCATCACTCTAATTCAACCCAAAAATAAAAGAAACCCAAATTATAATAGAATTAAAGAAAACAAAATGGGAAAATTGAAGTGAAAAAGAGAAAGGGGAAAAGAAAATGTGGGCAATTACGGGTACACAGAGGTCGTTGGTGAAGTCGGTGGCGGCGGTGGGGTTGAAGACGGTGGAGCTGACGTGGAGATGCGAAGGTAGTGGCGGAGGGTGGAGGTCAATGGAGTCGGTGGAGGAAGTAGAGGAAGAGAAAAGGTCGTCGTTTGACAGGTCGAGAAGGTCGTCAATGGGAAAGTAGTCTTGCTGTTGTTGGGCTGAGGAAGCAGATGTTCCTCCTCCGTACACGTCCTCCATTATTGTTCTTTACCAATTTGCAGAGAGTCAGAGTAAAAAAGCTGAGTGATTTTAGAGAAATGGGTTTGTGGGTTCTCTCTGGCTCTCAGCTCTGTTCTTAGAGAGAGAGAGAGAGAGAGAGAAGAATGGGGGTTGATATATTGATGGAAGAGGGAGCAGAGGAACGTGCAGAGAGAGAGAGAGAGATGAGTGTTTTAAATTTGGGTTTTTTTTTCTCTTGTCTGAGCAGAGAGCAGGGCATTGCAGAGCACACTAGTGCTGCCCAGTACAACACACCAGTGCTTCTACAACCCCCCAAACCCCAGTATGGATAAATAAAAAGTTAATGGCTTTTGCTATTTTATTTATTTATTTATTTATGGTGATGATGATGCTAATATGGAAACAGCCAAGTGTATGGTGGGTTTCATGCAATCATGGACACGTGGCTACTCATGCAGCCTATGCATAACACCACCCATTTACAGTTGTACACAGCAGTAAGGCTGTAAGCTAGAGGGGTAATATATAGCTAGCATTTTCCATCTGTTGCCATAATTGCATTGCATGACCTGAATTGCAGTGCAAGTTGTGCCTTCTTAATAGAGGACATTATACATTTTAACGTCTGTTGGATGAGTTTAATTTTTTAGATTCGTGTAGTAAATACGCGAAATCATACTTATTCAACGGTGATTAACGTGGTGGTAATGCTCGTCACCAATTAAGAGCGTTGAGTCCATCAATTTATACTCGAAATAGTAACATTTGTTCCACAAGGAAGAAAGCTTCTCATAGTTTTCGAGCTGACTTGATTCTCAATTAATGTGAAAATGATAAGGTGGGTGGTAGCTTAAAAACACAAGTAATTGGATAAACAAGAAGTTAATAAGGGTAAGTCAATTTATTTATTCCAGCTCAGATTGAAGATACATGGGAATTCCCTCAAGTCAAACTGGACACTCGGTTCGAAGCTTATTCCAGTCCCTAAATTGATGCAAACTATCAATGATCAATATTGGTAACGCCAACAAAATAAGTAAATAATTGGTAAGCACAAAAAAATAAAATAATAAAGTGAGTTATTGGATGTAATCCCTCAGTTCATTGAGAGCATTTTTGTCCACCATTTTAATTTAAAGTGTATTCTTACCACCATTTACGTGTCCATATGCATAACCATGGTATCATAAATACAAAGTAAAAAAATTAACTATATTAAGAAGGTTTGTTGTGAGAATACACCCTGAATTAAAGTAGTGAGAAAAATATTTTCATTTTTATTTATTTATCAATCACTATTTGATACGTGTGTAAAACTTTTTTTGTTTCTTTATAATCTCAATAAATTTTGCACACTATAAAATCAAATTCTAACATATATATATGTGTCTAAGTTGGAAAAGTAATGGACTTGAAATTTAGAGATTTGAAATATATAGTTTCTCACGTGCAATTGCTTTTTTAAATAGATAGGTTATGAGATGACTTATTGTACAAGATGAAATTTGTCCTCAAGTGCTATTTTCGCAACGCTTTATATATATATTCTTTTTCTTTTTCAATGTACTATTTTAAGATAGAGGATTGGATTGGAGGCCAAGAAATACTAATTTAAGATGCATTTTCTGATGAGCCTGACCCCTGAGATGCTAAAATTAATAACTGCACATAATTAATTTTGAACATCTTTTCTTTTTTTTATATATATAATAATAAAAAGATGTGTTTTGAAAATTGAATAGGTGTTCTGTAAAAGCCTAGAAGGGTGAGAGAGAGAGAGAGAGATAGGTGGTGGTCGGGACAGAAGACATAAATGAGAAATGGACACCGCCGGGGTGGGGTGGCCTTTATAATGTGAAAGGAGGACTGGAAGGAAGAGCTTGAATTTAAAGGAAGAGAAGAGAAGACATGAAGAAAATTAGATTTTTTTAATATATATTTTAATTATCCCTCTCTGACGCCGCCCCACTACCTCCCTTTACTTCTAGTTTTACTTGACCATGGATATGGACATCCATGCCCACCACCGACAGCTATTCCCAGCTGTCAATATTGTTTCTTCTTATTTTATACTAGCTTTTCATTATAAATTTATCCATGTAAATATTATTCTACGGAGAATCTAACATGTTATGTTATTATATTGTAATATGATACTGAGAAGGGAGAATTGAACTTAAGACTTAATATGTATGGTTAAATATTCTTAACCCTTGAATTCTTACTAGAAAATTAAGTTGTTATCGTACACTGCCGATTCGAATAATATATTTTAACAATAATCTACTTTAATAATTATCCAAACTATAAAGAAATGAACATCACTTTTACACAATAATTTGTTTTCAAAGTTTATTAGTATTTACATAAACGAGTGTTTGGAACACATATGCATGTGTCGTTTCTTAAATTTTAGAGAGACATGCCAACGGCCTATTACTAGCAACATTAATATTATCCCCAACTTAACTACCTATATAGCCCAATAAGTATAAAATTTTATCATAAAATATCTCGATACTATTAATAATAGAACCACTCATTATATATTGTAATTTATTTAATCAAATATCCTATATTGAAAAAAAGGATCTCTTGCATTAGTTAATGGAAGTCCCCCGAAACGCAACTATTGCTAGCATATTTTTCTTAACGGAACATCTACAATGTATCATAAATTGATGGATATCAACAACCAAGAGTGGCCCAGTGGTTTGTCTGCCATTTGGGTAAGACTCTGGGGTTCAGCTGGGTTTGCTCCCTAGTTCGAATTCCAGTAATTGCAACACCTGGTGGCCAACGGCAGACTCAGTTCCGTAAGTGGAGATTAATCGAGGTGCGCATAAACTG